AACTAAATTAACAACTAATTGAGATACCAATCCTTAATAACATGGTTTCTCATATGTCACCACTTAAATTAGGAAGTCTAGTAATCTTATTAGGGTAGAATAACTTGGGTGTGAGTCTATCATGACATTAGCTTACATAACTAAGTCACTTATGGGATTAACTCGTTGACTACTCTCCAAATACTATATAGTACTTGGTTAAGGATTTTGGCCTCTAACCTTGCACCTTACTCTAATTTGGTCCCTTTACATATGCATCAACCTTTCTCATATATGAATCAACATTGGTTGTTTTATGATCACTATAGTTTGACTTGGTCCCTACTGTGGTCACTTATACCAGATATGGCTTAACATTGCCCAAAAATTGTATCAACTAAGGACATAAATGAGGCTCAACTATCCACTTCAAGAGTCAACTACTCAAGAAAGGTTTTCAACGACTGGGCTTGTAAAGCACTACAATAATATCCTCATAATGAAATATTCAACTTTTTAAACAATCTCTCCTTTAGTCCTAAGTTGACCAACATAACTCCGACACCATGCCTTAAGCATTCTCAATATAATTACTCAACTGAACAACATACCACTCAATTCAACTTTCAATCACTAAATCATCTCTATACATTATCCTAAATCGATGTATAAAGATTCAACATCATACATCAACATACAACATATAGCACAACTTAATCATCATACAGCATGAAATAGATTCAACTAACTTATTTATATTCACCACTTATAAGGAAGTCCACGCCCGACACCATACACCTTGCATTTAGTGTCATAAAGATAGGGAGTTCTCTGTCTCGTTTATGTCTAGAGTAGATGAGGTGAAGGACCCCTGGACTCTCACGCTTGACGTGGCAAAGTCCATGCCAACCCCATATTAGGCAAAAAGCCTCTACTTGATTCATGTTTGACGCCACTCCATTAGTATTGAATGTCAATTTTGGTAAAGATGATTCTCTCTCCTTACACTCGACGCCATTAATCTTACGCCCAATGTGAGTGAGACAGAGGACTCCTTATTTGAGCCATGCTCGATGCCATGAAGGCATGCCCGACGTGGTGGTGAATTATGCACTTGTAAATTCATAAAATTGTTCTCGCTTCACCTGAAAACCAGAAAAACACCAAGCATGCAATGCAATATATCCTTCATATACATCATCAACTACTCATTCCACACCAAAAAAGCAACATGCAACAACATGTAAACTAAAATCATCTAAAACACCTTTATATGCTCAAAGCTCCCACAACCCAAATCCTTCATCAAACCATCCAAAATTCAATCAACACAATCACATTTTGATGGAATTCAAACAACATGAACCCAAATAGTTTAACATAAATAAGGCTCTAGCTTTCCTTACCTCAAAATCTGAGAGAAAGAGAGGAACAAGGAAGAAGGAACAATTCAAGTTTTGAGCTCTAGGGAGTTCCTCACCACATCACGACTTGATTATCAGATCCAACAACTTTGAATCACTATTTTACTAATCAACAATGATCTTCTATGCACTTGGGAAACCTAGAAAGAAGAAGGAGGATTCAGAATCTCAAAGCTTTTCTCTAGTTTAACATTTTAGAAATCTGGAGAATGAACTTATGAAGTTCAATTATCAAAATAAACCTTATATACCTTCCCCCTCAAGATTAAACTAAACATCTGTCCAAAGAAACTCTCTAAACAACTAAAAATTCACAAGGAATCTTTTAATCTTGAGGGGGAAGGTATATAAGGTTTATTTTGATAATTGAACTTCATAAGTTCATTCTCCAGATTTCTAAAAAGTTTAACATAAATAAGGCTCTAGCTTTCCTTACCTCAAAATCTGAGAGAAAGAGAGGAACAAGGAAGAAGGAACAATTCAAGTTTCGAGCTCTAGGGAGTTCCTCACCACATCACGACCTGATTATCATATCCAACAACTTTGAATCACTATTTCACTAATCAACAATGATCTTCTATGCACTTGGGAAACCTAGAAAGAAGGAGGATTCAGAATCTCAAAGCTTCTCTCTAGTTTAACTTTTTAGAAATCTGGAGAATGAACTTATGAAGTTCAATTATCAAAATAAACCTTATATACCTTCTCCCTCAAGATTAAACTAAACATCTGTCCAAAGAAACTCTCTAAACAACTAAAAACTCACAAAAAATCTCTTAATTCAAAGTTTCTCAATATAAAAACAACAATTAACATATATATGAATAAATTCACTAACAATTACTGAAACGTACAATATTACATTATGAGATATGGAATTTTGAAAATTGAAATAAATGAAAATGAGATGTCTAACAAATAATATAATTAAATACTTAATTAGTTAAATATTATTTTACTGTAATAATTAATTATTATAATCTGTATATAACAATAATCATTTTTTTTTATTTTAGATTATAATTTTGAATTTTTTTATTTAATTCAAGACATTAAACTTTCTATTATATTCATTTACATAAAAATTATGCAACGATATAAAAAAAAGGACTATAAATATCACAAAAATTATATACAAAATAAATTACTTGAGATATTATATAAGAGTAATTTTCATGTGATTTTATTATTTTTACGACTTTTATTTATCAATAGTTTATATGTAAGTAAATATAATTTAAAAAATATGTCTTAAATTAATCAACAATAATTCAAAATTGTGTCTTAAAAAATATTTATTGTTTCTAAGGGACTTAATTTATCTATAAAAAAGATTAAATAAAATTTAAAAATACGATAAAGAATTCTATTTTTAATCTATTAATTTTTAAATTTGATAAGTTGCCGTTATCATACCGCGATATTGGTCCATAATCCTGCTACAGATATTCGTTACGGTACCAAAAATTATTTACTATTTTCCGAACAAAGTCAATAAAAAAGGTTATTTTTCTAACATCAAAAAGGTCCGTTAACAAAAACAAAGAGTCCGTTAAAAGGGTTTGTAGTTGCAGTTGCAAGGGTGACGTTCCACGGAATACGAATGCTTCATGAGTTCATGTTCATGCTGCATAAACTGCACTATAGCGGTTGTGAAACTCAAACTCACCATTACATTTAATTTCAAATTCTAATTTATCATGTAATAAAAAAAAATGTCAAGAGATGGATACATGCACTTTCTCACCATTACAACTTTTTCCACTTTTATTTATCAATTCATATAATAAAATAAATCAAATACATAATATATTTATTATATATCAAAATTACAAATTACATATATAATAATTTTTATATAACTTATTTAAATTAAAAAAAAAAATAATAAAAAAATTAGACGAATTGGCAGATTAATATGTCTTAATTCGTCATTTAGTTTAAACGAATTAATGAATTAGATATGATAGATTAAAATATCTAACTCGACTTGTGAATTATGACTCATTTTATTATCTGTATACATTGAATCAAAATCTATGTTTGATTGTGTCTGATCAAAGAATTAAAGTTTTTGTTATACACATTATAAAAGGATGCCTTTTTTAATGATCATATTTTTTTATTTTCATTTTAGGTAGATACTTTTTTCTTAAATTTATACAACATATCTTATAATTTTAAAATTTATCCTCTCTAAACTTTGAATGATGTAGCAACTATAAGCGACCTAGAATGATGTTGGGCAGCTTCTCTTCTCCCTTTCCAAACTTCTTTCTTGTCCCTTTTGTTTTTTATGCTCATTACTATACGACTGACTCTCAGTTTAGTAGGACAATAAACAATTATAAACCACGTTACGTTTGGATAAATAAAAATAAGATAAAGATTAATACATTTTGGTTGGGTTAATTTTTAACAAATTTTATTATAATTCCACATGTTATAAATTTAATTCTAAATGAATACATATTTTTATATATAACTTTAATAAAAATATATAAAAGAAAGATGTTTACTTAATCATTGTTTAAAATGTACGATTAAGGAGCTTTTTTAGATAACATATTTGTCACACATATATTTTAAGTGGATGCAAATATTATTCCATCTTATTTTAGATTTTGTAATATTTTTTTGTCATTTTCATATCTCTGAAGCTTTTTTAGATTTATTTTTCAATCTTGAATATCGTTAACTCTAATTAGTTGAATATTGATATGATTAAATAACTTAAAAAATATTAAGATTAATGAAGAATATTAGTATATAATTTACTTAAACACATATAATTTAATTTTTATAAGTTATATATTTTTATTTTAATATTTTTTTACTTTTCAATTCACTAATTTATTTTTAACATTAAAATATATAATTTACTTAGACATTATATTTTTTAATCTTTAATATGTTACAAACAATAATTTTATGATTAACTTATAATTCTACATATTTTAATAAAAAATATAATTCTATAAATTTTTATTATGTTATTTCAATTATAAAAAAAAGTGAAATAAAAACAAATATATAGGTTTTATCATAATTAGTATTTTAAATCATACAAATATACAATGTATGAATTAATTTCAAAATTTATGAATAATTTAAAAAAGTATCCGAACATTTTTTTTGTTTCAGTTTTCATTTTTACTAGAGCATATATGTCTGTCTTTACTTTGATATTTTGTGTTGTAAGGTAATGCTTTCTCTTTTTGGTCAATTTTAGTTTATTGCGCTTCAATTCAAATCATCAAATAAAGCCCACGGCAGACCCGGAGGTTCAGACAACATGCCACAAGAGGCCCAAAACAGACAGTACGTTAATACAGTACATCGTTTTTGACGCCATTCAAGGTACACCTAGCTGGATCCAAAAAGAAACTTGTATTAACATTTTGACAAAAAAACAACACGTAAACAAACATTTATCTTATACCCCATTTCATTTCTTCCTTCCTTTTTTTCCCATTTTATCCATCACTATATTTTTCTTTCTCTCTCCTTTTCCAATAGATGTATTCATATTTTCAGAGTGTAAAGGTAATACTGTATTTTTTTTTCTTTTTCAGAATATGGCAAGATTACCCTGCATTTCATGAATAAAAAATAAATAAAATTTGTTAAAATTGAATTAGTATTACAGACAAGGATCTCAAGATACAAAAAGGCCTTCAAGCATGTTGATTATGCAATAAGACATGGCCTTATGAAAGAGAGAAAATGCAAAAGGAAGGAATCCTAAATGAATTATAATTTTTTTTTATTTTTATTTTTCTTGTATACATATTAAATAATAATATCCTGTAGAAGAAGCCAAGAAAAATTCCTTTCTAATCACGCACGTACGCAGGCAAAGATCCAAAATGCGCAGAGATTCTGCATCAGACGAGCGTTTTGCATGTAGATGTAACGGGGTCCCACATCGCCGGCAACAGAAACTTGCGACCGTGCACACCCACTACATTATAGCTAGCTCCCGTTACATTATCCACTAACACATCACCCGTGTAACCCGGGTACGCCCCTTTTCCGAATATTCCGGTGCACGTCGACACCGCCTCCAACGGCGCAATCACCGACCCTTGGTAGTACCCATTCCCGAACGGGTTCGTCACCGCTCCGGCCACAACCGTCGCCAAACTGATCACCATCCCGTCCACGCCGACGTCGCCGTTCGGCGGAACCAGCGGCGGCGTCTGCGGGCCGTACACCGGCTGGTGGAACGGCCACGCGCACTCCCCGGGACACTGCGTCGCCGGGTTACCCACCCAAAGGAACACGACCCTATTGTTACGTACCCGACCCGAGCCATGGGTCCCACATCGGCTCATGCAGAAACCCTCGACTGCCACGTCAGCAGAAGTTAGCACCACGTGGATGGCGTTTCCTTTAGTTGGGTTTTGGCCCTTTTGGGTCGAAGCGAGGGCGCGGAGATGGGATGTGTTGAGTGATTTGCCGAGGGAGTAGGTGGGGTCGAGGGTTTGGTTCCCTACGGTGAGGGTGCATGGGCCTCCCCTGTACCTGGCGGTGGTTCGCCACCACGAAAACACGGAGGGTGGTGAATGGTGAGAGTGGGGAATGGAACTAAGGGATTGGATGAAGTCAACGATTACGGAACGGTGTGTGGGGGTGAAGTTACCGTACCAGTGGACATGAACGGTAACGTTTCCCTTAAGGAGTGAACCGTTGTGGTATTTGAGGACAATGGGGTCTGGCTGAACCAAAGCCAGCATGCGATTGAACGTTGTGGCTTCCCAAGTGTTTGGGACATGGGACTGAACAAGTACAACAAACGAGGCAACAACAAGTGCCAGCCTCAAAACCAAACGGTGGTCACCACCAATTATCATTGTAGGTGATTTCAGAATGGGAACATGCACTAGTGTGTGTGTGTGTGTGTTATATGGGAGGGTGAGGTCAAGTTGAGCTTCAAACTTGAATTGGGTATTTAAATGACATGATAGAGCGAGTGTCTTATGGGCTGAGAAATGGTTTCATATTAACTTGTGGGTGCCACGTAAGTGTGGAGGGAACCTACCACACCACTAATGGATAGATATAAATATAGTATGTATTTGTAAAATACTTGATTTACGCTTACTAATGAACCAAAAATCTTATATTGTCTTTTCATTCGTGAATCTTTGTTAAGTTAGATCCATGAATGATTATTATCTACGGATAGAGTAGTTAGATAATTATTATTATTTTGATAAATTTGTTAGAGTAGTTGGATAATTATTATCCGTTGATAAATATGTTAGATTGTTTGATAATTATTTAGACCAATTAAATATTTTGTTAGATCGATTAGATGAGTTACAGCTGTTAAAGTTGACTATTATACATATATATAAACTCATTTTATTGATTTAACTTGGTATCATAAAATATATTAATTTATTTCTTGTGTTGAAGAGTGTAAATGTCCATTTTACTACTTTTAAATGGTAATAACCGTCTCTAGAAAGCATGACATAACAATATTCACATTTTTTTATATATAAAAATTTCTTTTGCTGAATGTGGTATGTGGGTAAAATTACAAATGATGAAAATGGTAATCCAATTTACTAACTTAAATTCACATAAAAGTATGGAGGATATATATATGATTGTAAATTGAAATTCATTCATGCAAGAGTTCAACATTGCATGAAAATTTTAATTAATTAATTTAAACCAAAATTATTGCTCAGTGTGAATGATACAATACATGATTTCATTATTTGTATTTTTTTCATTTATTATTTATACTTGTCACTTCTTTAGTTTAGAAATGTCAAATTATACGCGATAGCGTGAATTCATCTGGTTGCCTAGCTATAGGAAGATTGCTTTTCGGTGGGTGGAATAGTTACAGATGAATTCAAAAGGGAAGATGTGTCAATAAACACTGACAGCTCATGCATGTCTAGATTCATTTATATTAGTATTAGATAATTTAATAGCAGTAATTAAATATTTATGATGTGTTAACTAATTTTTATATAATACCTATTTAATTTTTTATAATTTGCATCAAAATTAATAATATTTAATTATATGTGATATAAAAACTAATTAGAAACTATATAGTTAAGTTCTAATATTTTCCTTATATACAATAGGACTCGAACTTGACATTGATATTCATATATCTAAAATATATTTTTATTTGTTACTATTTTATTTCACCATATTGCTTCACCCATCTCTTACTCTCTTTTAGTATCATTCTCATCCATTTATCTCCTAAGTTTAAAATTGGGATATCCTCACGCTTTATCCTGTGCGGTTTAATGAATAAGTTAATATAATAACAGTGTATTAAAAACCTAATTAATGAATATGAAATTGCTAAACTTCATTCTGTTAAGCAAGCAATTATTTCTGAAAAGAAATCCAATTATACTTTCATATCCTTTTTGATCTAAAATATATTAACTTTAGAAGAATTGTTAACTCTAATTCAAGGGAAAAGGTGATAAAATATTGTGTTACCGCGTGAGGAATCCAACTATATATTCGGTCTGAGGAAGTAAATTTGCGTCAAGTAAGCAGAAATCAGGCAAACTAAATTAAATTAAGTGACAGAAAAGAATTGGCCCGCATTAAAAGTTGCAACGCGGATTAATAAATCAGCACTAAATAGCCTTAATCACAAGTTTTACACAAAATTGCTGGCATGCATTTCAATTTCATGAAAAGTCACCTTTTTGAGAGGCATATAGACCAGCTATATATTTATAATGCGCTTTTAAATTATTGTGTTATATATAATTATATGAGGGGATTATAATTACATTGGTGTAACTTTTATTAAGTATTACACCGCTTAATAATTTTATATTTTAAATGTGAATTTTGTAAATTTAACTGTTAAATTGAAAACTCCTATTTCTTAGATCATATATACAAAATTTTATATTAATTCAAGATAATTTGATAATTAATTTTTATAAAATAAAATTGAAATAATATAATAATTTAAAAATATATTAAAATATGAATATTTTGATTACCCTTAAGTTATTATTCAATTTTAACAAAATTTGATATACACGTATAAAATAATATAAAATTTTAATCTAACAGTTAGATTTACAAAATTCATAATTAACATAAAATTATTGAGTGGTATAATACTTATTAAAAGTTACACTAGTGTAATTATAAACCCTCTAATTATATATATCCTGTATGAATATATAGATTGGGTTTTTCGGCTGGTTGGTATGTTGGTGCGCGTAGAGTAAAAGGGAAGATTAATGAAGTCCAAACCAACAGCCGAAGATACAAATATATATAATAATGCCTGCCTTGCGGAGCAGCCATATCTCATGTTCCATACCTCTCAAAATAATGCTCCACCTATCAAGTAATAAAGTCTAATTCACTAGATAAATCGTTAAATTTTTTAAAATGTTGGTTATAGTTTGATTTGTAGTTACATGTATAAAGTAAACGTTTTCTGTCTAAGTAGTACTAGATTTAATTTCTTTAAATAAAATTTTAAATTTGAGTCTTTTATATATATATATATATATATATATATATATAAAACATGATTTGAATAGGAGACCTATTGAAGACATCAATTTGGTTCTCCAATAAATTTTAGCCATCAAAACTAATAGATACTTTATTTAATAACATGACTATCCAAAAATAATTTCTTTGACAGACTAAACTTGTATTCAAAATCTATATATATTTTAAAGGAGATTTATTAATAATTAGTCATTATTGCCTTGAAAATTTCTTTAGTGCATAAACAACTATTCTTCACATTTTTTTCATATAAAATATGTCCACATAAATCATTCAAAATATATAAATATCCAACCAAATTTTCCTTTTTCCTTTTTTTTGTTTTCTTGTTATATATATATATATATATATATATATATATATATATA